AGCGCGTCGGCACATCAATCGTTGTCGCTACTTCGCAAAGCGTTAATCCTGGGACTTTAGGGTTATCCACTAATCATTCCATCCAGAGCTCGGCCTCTCTTCCAGTTTCTCGGCGCATCAGATCGTTGGGTTTCTGCTATATTTACATTTAAAAGTCATAAAAGAGCAAAATTAGTTCTTCAGTGACGTAAAGCATGCCATCATGCTTTGCGATAAAATATCGGAAGCTCCTCAGACCACTTCGCAGCTGTAGCTTAAATTTCTAAGAAGCATCTCATTCGAACTCAACGCTTCGGCTACTAAGCACTAAAAAAAAAGAATATAAAGGCAACTCTATTCACGTTCATTCGATCTGCAGCACATTTGCCAACGAATGCCTTACAGAAAAAAAAGTATAAATAACAACCAGGCAGTACTTTCATTCATGACATCACGGACTAAAAAAAAAAAAATATAATAAGAACAAGTAAACAAGCCCCTGCGGGTTGTTTCCACCCATCTGCACCACTCCGACAACGTTCCGAGACAACGCTCCGGAGATATGCGCGCACCGGCGTGCGTATGTGCGCGTCCGCGTGCACCTTCTTCTTTCTATTAAATTAATACGAGTAAAGGGATAGTTTAATGGTCGGGTCCAGTAAAGGCGTCCCCGAAGGTGCCACACCGCCCAGAATTAATGCGGGATTAATGGTAATGACACAGCGGACTCTCGGAAAAGAAGAGGGCTCGCCAGAAGTCACCCGAGGTCACAAAGTAGCCGGCTCTTCGACCAAGCGACCGTCCACTGCCGCGCGCGTTCCCCCTCGTCCACTTTCATCCCCTCCTCTTCCTTCGCTGCCTCTTCTTCATCCTTTCTTGTTGTCTCGATGGCAGGTGATAGATTAAAAATGTTTCCTCGACGCGCGTTTTGCTCTGTGCACGTTTTGTTATCGGCGACGCGGTGGACAGGAGCGGGCTGCGGAGGTCAAGACCCATTATTTTACGTTTGTTTTCTTTTGGAGAGGATGCAGTCCGCTGCGAGGACAGTACGGCACGGTCAATTGGCGAACGGCGGAGGGAATAAAATAGCGCACGGAACAGGCTCCCGTGGACGTGGCGAGGCGCCGTCGTTTCGCGTGCTCTGGAGACGCTCGAGTCAGGCTGAGAGCTATTGAAGGTGCGCGCTGGTTTTGGAGAGCGTGAGAAAAAAGTTTGCCGCCGCTTAGAGCGGGTAGCCTGGTGGCTAGTACGTACGTTGTTCGGCTGCGGGGAATGAATTCGATGACTTGAGTGGGGAGGGGGGTTGCACTCGGAGCGAATAATTTCGTATTTGGCCTGGCGACGGCCTGTGCAGCGGCAATTCGACACGGCTGACGGGTTTATCTGAGTATGGGTTCTGGGAATAAAGGGCGGCGATCGTTTTGTTGCTGCTGCCTAGCGGGCAAACGAAGGCGCGATAAACGGATAAATGCGAAGCAGTTATGGTCAGGCAAAGGAGATATCGGGCAATTTTATACGGTGGGAGCAGATTCTGTCAACCTGCGAAGTTCCACGTAAGCGTGTGAAGTGCTTTTGTTTTCTAGCTTTCGTTTTTTGTATAGAATAATTCTAAAATGAAGCCAAAGGCATGGAAAAACAACACCTCAGCGTTGCTCACATCATAAATAACAACAACAACATAACCCATGTATTTAAAGGCAGGAACCAAGCACTGAGATGTCGTAGTAGCCCGCAAAAAATGTGGAAGGTAATGTGCCTCCATCCACAAATGAAATTATTCTTACCTTACAATTAAAAGTTAAAAAGTCAGCCGGTGTAATGAATACTTTGAGCGGCTAAGTATTTGATCTCCCACAAATCTTTTAAAGAAACTTCATAAAATATATTACACTAAATTTACGCAAACAGCTTGCAGGCCCGCTAACCTTCAGCAGTACTACAAACGTTGCAGCCCCCCCCCCCCCCCCCCGCCTTTGCCCCTCCCCACTCAGACCTGCGTTCCCGAATGCTTGCAGAGAGCATACCTGAGGAGGTACCCACAACATGTAGGCACTCCGTTCTCCTCCTTAAAAAGAAAACCCAAAACCAACAACCACATACACTAGACATCAAGCAACAGCTTGCCGATGAGGAACCGCACTTAGACAAGCATCCCACTTAACACCTCTCCCCCTGCCCGTTTTGTTCCTGCCGTTCTTGGAGACGGGAACATGCTGGTCCCGGCCGTTAACAAAAGCGTCGAGAAGAGATCTACGGCACTTCCCGACACTAAGAGCCTGTCGTCGGCACACGAGGCGGCAAACACAGGGCAGTCTTCTTCTTTGGCTCTCCGAGCGGGGGAAGGGGGGGGGGGGGGGGGGGGGCATCTCCGGTGGCTGCGTCCACCCCGCCGCGAGCATCTGTGTTAACAGTGTCAACACGGCGGGCGAGGCGCACTTGCTACAGCTATCCATAGCCGCCGTTTCTTTCTGCTTCTGGCGTTACTTACCAAGCCACGGGGTTGTATATAGGGCTGCACTGCTCGGCAGAGGGATTCTTCTCTTTATCAGCGTCCAGAACGGTTGCGTTTGCGATTAACCCGTGTCGAAGACGAAGAGCATACACCCGTGGTGTTGGCTTTGCTGGGCCCCACCGGCGTTGTTCCTGGAGGATGCGGGATCGGCCGCGATGTTTGTTCGAGTATCTATGGCGTCGGCATAGTCTTTGCTTGGGCGCGCGAAATATGGAAGGGTGGGGTTTATGTCTCGGGCTACGTGTCGCCTCTCTGTACAGCGCCTGCCGAGCTACACGCACTCACTGCTACGAAGAACTTGGATACATAACGTTGGGAAAGACATTGAGAAAGGATACCTAACGTTGTAGTTGATTCTAAAAGAAACGTAGACGTTCAATAGGCGACTGCTTGCTGGTGGCATTGCTGGGAAGCCCCGATTATATCGCACAGAAAGTTACTCGGTGGATTGTGCGAAAAGTTCGCGCCTTATGATCTGACAGGTAATCTCTATGGGTTAATTAAATGTAAGAAAAATTACGCCGCCCACAGTGTATACTTTCTGACGGATGCCATCATGAATATGCGAGACTTTAGAAGGTACAACTAACGTGTCTCGCATTTAATAGTTATACAATATTTCTTGCAATGCAATTAAGCTATCTTAAAAAACAAAATGTTAGAGATTGAGGGGGAAGGAATAACAGGTTTGCGATATAAATTTGCAATTTCAGCTTTTTGTTCCCTATTGCAATAAAAGCCCTTACAAAAGTCACGGTCCTAAAAAGGCAGGGGTGAAGCTACGATTTCAGTTTCAAAGGGCCCTATTTCTTATTCTAGTTTGAAGTGAACAAACCCTCCATTATACGGCTGCTTTCTTTTTTGCAACAATGCTAAGTGATGGAGTTAAGCATCTTTAAGGTATATAAGGTTTCAGTAAACGACAATTTTTTTACGCGTGCATAAAAGATTGTCTTTTATCGGTCGGAGCCTTTATGAAAATACGTAGTTGGTCCTTATTCTGTGATAAAAATACAATTATAAGTTGCTCACTCTGGAAAAAAATAACACCTTCACGTATGTTACTTTGAGAAACGAAGTGCTGAACAACGGACATTGAAGAAAAGTGAGGTGGGTCATGAAAAACGAAGCAAAAAAAAAAAACGTACGTTTCGATACGTTGAGAGAGGAAATGCAGAGAATCTCCTGCCATTTTTATATATTTTAACTTTCATTAAAACGTGTTACAGTGCATAGTTCAGCCTAGATAAGTCTCGAGATGTCTAGGTTGTCTCAAGCGGACCTTTCGCTGCTAAGAGCAAGCCGGAAACATCGGCGCCTGCACATAGAAAGCTCAGACTTTCATGGAATGTGCATCGAGCAAGTCAGTTTTACCGCGTGAAGTTTTAAGGCATAGTTAGTTTTCTGTAAAAATGAGGGCGAAAAAATTTCCCAAGTCAAGGTTGGACGCGCTCCCAGACGATCGAGTGATACTATTTCTTGCGGCGCCATCTCCCGATAGGCGCCGCGACAAGACAACAGCGTGCGCCGTCTGCTCGCTGCGCCTATCAGCAGATGGCGCCACAAGTAAACAGCTTCGCTTACTCGGTTGTTTGCGAACGCAGCCAAAACCTTGACTTTGGCAAGCTTTTTTCCTTTCTTGTTTTGCTCTCTTTTCTCACAGAAAAGGAACTATAGCCCTGAAACTTCAGACTGTAAAAGTGACCTGCTCAGTGCACGTTCGATGGAAGTTTGAGCTTTCTATGCGCAGGCCCCGATATTTCCGGCTCGTTTTACAGCGGAAAGGCCCGCTTGAGGCACCCTACATGACGTGAACCTGGCATTGCCACCCACAGATTTAGGAACGCAGGACATGGCCTAAAATGATCACGCTTCTAATTGCTTCGTGCTTGGTTGTTCGGCGTTCTTGTCGTCCGATGCCTCAATCCCATCGACTGCTGAGCGGTAACAAGAGCATAGGGAGTCGAAATGCCCCTTTCTTCGTTGAGCTTTCAGCGACCCTACACCAACTCTACTTTTTGACGTCACGCCTCTGCCGTGGAGCTGCTGTCCGTTCTGCGCTTGCCCAGATACTTCCTCTCACACGAATTTGGTTTCCGCGCACGTGCGACGCCCACACCTGGCGTGGGAAATAACGTGCGAAGGACTTTTTCGAAGGACACAAAGACGGTCAATCACGGCGATCAAAACAAGAATCGCAGAAAATAAAAAAAAAACTCACACTACAAGTAGGCAAAAAAAGAAAAAAAAAAGATACGCGACGTGCGCAGAGACAGTGCGCGTGATGTTGCACTAGCTTATTGTCTGCGCGTAAATCATATTGTTTAATATCTGATCATACTCTGAGCTTCTCTATTCACTGGGATCCTTCCTTTGTTTGTGGTGTTTAACTGTCTTCCTGTTCCGCAGCAAAAAAAAAAATAGCACAGGACGTTTTTTTTTTAATAGAAGTGCGACTGCGTTCTGGAAGCGCAGCTCACTTAATTCTCTCTCTTTCTCTGTTGCGCAGGCAAGAGCTTCACGATCACCATCACTCTGAGTACGAACCCGCCGCAAGTGGCGACCTACACCAAGGCCATCAAGGTCACCGTCGACGGACCCCGGGAACCACGCAGTAAGACGCGTACGTAGTTCCTCGAACAACGCGCCGACGCGCCCGCAGACCACCGACGCGTTGGGACGTCGTGGTCGTGCCCGGTCGGCTGCCGGAACACGAGACCGAGACCGCATTCACTCTCGCGCAAAGAACCCGAAACATGCTGCAGCGTCATCGGTTCGTTGCAAGCATTCGGTCGTCTGTTGGCAAGGGCCCAGGCGCCTGGATCCGAATGACCACAGTGGTCAAGTGACGGTGTGATGTCACGGGACATTAAGGCATCACGTGACTTCATGACGTCACTTGAAAACACGACCTCACGCGACATTACGTCGTCGCGTGAAGGTGTGCCTTTGTATATTTACAGAACTTTCGCGATGTGCCGTTGAGTGGTCTCCTTAGTGTGCCCGCAACGGAAGGACCGCGAAGAGGCCCTATATATGCTAAGCATTTAGAACGCCTTTGGAAAATGCCAAAGAGACAGCCATTTTTGTTTCTATGAAGTTAGTTCCTCGAAGCATAATCGACGTACCGCCAAAAGCCTCGCAGTGGCGGCCTCTTCTATACAGTTTAGACTCGTCAACCCCTATGCAAAAACAGACGCAGCTTTTTATGTTCCGGGTGGCGTGATTGCGCGCGCCGTCCGGCACGCTTCATTTAGTATAAACAAACCTGTCGGGCACGACTATGACGTCTCGAATTTTAAATACGGCCGGTGGTCTGTAGGCCAAAAACGTTGAGCAGCGCCGAGCGACAAGTGAGGTGCGCGTAGCGGCCCAAATAATCGTTCGGGGGTCATTCATCCGCCGTAATGCACTTCAAACGTCTAGAGACCTACTGCAGTGTCAGACGGTTTATTATTCTATTTTTCTTAGCGAATTCTTACCACTCCCCATACGACGTGCCCACTATTCGTAAAACGTTCCAAATAAACTGTCGGAATGGCGAGCTCCAGAAAACGACATAAGGGCGCGCTACAGGCATGTTCTATTTAGAGTGCCTTCATACACACGTGCGCTCTAGTTCTATTTAGAGTGCCTTCATACACACGCGCGTTTGCTTGAGTGGTGACATGTCAGCCATTTTTCCGCCCATTCGTCTTTTTATGCATTTTGAAGTGCGCGCAATCCGGTGTCACTCAGCTCGAGCGTCTAGCTTTGGCTAATACATAGGCGCCATTTTGCCGCCCAAGTCACGCACCGAGTGCGCGAGAGCGTCACGCACTGGCACATTCAGGGGAACAATGGATGTCTTCACCCTCAGACAGACAGACATGTAGGCACCCTAGTTCTATTTACCACTACCGCGTTGTTTTAAGGGTAGGAAGTCTATTTGGATTCGTGAGCGCAGCCTGTCACGAGATAACTGCGATGGGTTCGGCGTCCGGCTATACTGTGGTGCACTTCTTGCACCACAGTATAGCCGGCTCAAATGAGCCCTGTATACTCTTGTGGACAGAGCCGATTATAACATGGGCAACCACTGTTGCGTCGCCTGCTTCGCGCCTAGCAGATTACCAAGGGACGTTGTGATTCACATACTTGAAGAACAACCAATCTTCGTGAGGAATCACAAAATATTCCTCTCGGAGATCATGTGCACATGCTCTCCGATAGTAATATTTTCGCGACCGGTGGCCGTTCCTCGCTTCCAGCGCATGCGCTGGAAGTGCGGAATGGCGACCGGTCGCGTACGAAAGTATGGGAAAGTTCTGCCAGTACGTATTTCCTGCAGAACGGAGACATCTGCCGTATTCTTGGAATAGACCTTTCTGGTAAATCCGAGGAGACCTCGCGGCGAGAATAATTTTGGCTCTGTTCCGCTGCTGGCGCCGACTCAAGCGCTTCGTATAGACGCTTTCAGCGAGTCAGTTACTCGAGCTGCCACCAGTCGGCGCGCCCTTCGCGCGCTTTCCGGGCCGCCATAGCCGACCTTCAGTTCCTCGCCGTTGCTTCGCGTTGTGTGCTGCACAGGCCACTACCGGAGCTTCGTTTTCGTGTTCATTTACGTTCCGCGTTGAAATCTTGCACTTTCTTTGGGTCTTTTCGCTATTTAGAACTTTCATTTAATCATTTGATATTTATATTTCGACGTAGCTCTTGTATTTTCTTATTTATGGAATGGAATCTGACAGCGAATGGGTCGACGATACTTATGAGGCTTCAATGACCATGTAAGTTCATCCCATTCTTACGTTTTTGTCGCTAATAAAGGGCAGTCAACACTATTGCGACACATGCAAATTGCAACTGACGCAGTAAAGCTATCGCAGTCGTGCTTCTCGCCGCATGTGCGCGCTCGTTTCCGTAAAGCCGACCCGCATGCCAGCGATTTAGCGTTCGACAAGACGAGCGACGGAGATTTTTTTTTTTTTTTTTTTTTTTTTTTACAAATACTGTCGCCTGCTGCATCGCTCGTTTTTTTTTTTTTTTTTTTTTTGGGGGGGGGGGGGGGGGTTAAGAAAACGTCGCTCACCGTTTTGGTCGCTTGCTCCGTCGCTTCCATGCGGTTTGCATCGTCGCGCGACTGACTGAGCGACAGCAAAGCGGGTCGCCTTCGCTTATCTGGTCGCTCGCCAAATCGCTTACATGCGGTTTATACTCAATTAATTTCCATGCACACAGCAATGAACCATTGGCGCCTCGATATTAGGTATAAACCGCGTGCAAGCGATTCGGCGAGCAACGAGACAAGCGACGGTAACCCTCTTCGCTGTCGCTCGGGCAGTCGCGCGACGAGGCAAACCGCATGGAAGCGACAGGAGCAAGCGACCAAGACGGTGAGCGACGTTTTCTAAAAACTCAAAAAACCGAGCGATGCAACAGGCGACAGTGAGAAATCTTCGTCGCTGACTCTCGTCGTTGCCGCCGTCGCTCGTCTCGTCGCACGCTAAATCGCTTACATGCGGGTCGGCTTTACGGAAACAAACGCGCACATGCAGCGAGAAGCATGACTGGATAGGCTTACTGCGTCAGTTGAAATTTGCATATGTCGCAATGATGTTGACTGCCTTTATTAGCGAGAAAAACGTTAGAATGGGATGAACTTACATGGTCTCTGAAGCCATAATCGTGTGTCGTCGATACGTTCGCTGTCCGATTCCATTTCATAAATAAGAAAATACAAGAGATATGTTAAAATATATATATCAAATAATTAAATGAAAGCCCGAAATATCGAAAATACCTAAAGAAAACACACGATTTCAACGCGGAACGTAAAAGAACTCGAAAACAAAGCTCCGGTAGGGGCCGACGCAGCACACAACGCGGAGGAACGGCGAGAAACTGAAGGGCGGCTATGGCGGCAGGGTCACGTGACGCCAAGATGGCGGCGCCCATGAAATGTTGCCTGAAAGGGTCTATACGCTGGTGGCGGCACGACTCATTCGCGCTTATCATTACAAGTTTGGATGGCACAAAAATAGAGCGAACGCAAAGAGAGTTTTTCTTCTGCCTTCTCTGCGTTCTGAAATCACAAAATGCTAAACCAACGTACGCTTCGTCTACGATTCCAAGATAATCCAAACCTGCAGCAGTACATCTGAACGCCACAATGCGTCAAGCAGACGGTGGGAAGCAACATATTTCCGGAGAGGTCTATCGTCTGGCCGAAACTTTGTGTCTCAAATTTTTATGCGGTAAATGTAAAACCCTCATTTCCCATCCAAAGAAGTGAGCGTCTTCTTTCTGAATGCTGTCTTTGGCAACTACTTCGCCTATCGGCAATGTGGCACGTTAATGTCACACTACTGTTAGGCAGCGTGGCACGTGCTAGCCGCTATCCCTTTTGTGACATGCAATCTTACACTGAGGAGCCTTAAGCCGCGGCCACCCTACATACACGTCATACCAAAGACAGTTCTATCACAATGTCTGAGGCACGTTATACTTGTCTGTAGGACGGTCTTGTTACATCAGTCATACAAAAACTGTCTGCAAACATGTTTGAAGCATGTATATGAATAACAATAGCGTGCTTCAAACATTCTTCAGGAGTGCCGATAATCGTGTCATCATATCTGCACAGAACACTTTATCTTTTGTACGATGTATGAGACTTTACCGAATTTTTTTTTGCGTCAATAGAAATAAGTGCTTTTAGAATTTGTTTTTTTTTGTGAGCAATGCAACCTTATGTTAGAAACTAGGGTGCATCTAGTGTAGTAGATTCTTAAAAAAAAGTAAACGTCACTACAGTGATTTCTGCGTAGAGTTGAAATGAATCCATGACCAATCGTACGTAGTGAAGCAGAAAAATACGAAATTCGCTTTCATGGGATGGTTACTATTGGACCTTCGATTGGCGGCAATTACGTCGAATAAGTTCTAGTTCCTTTCATGATAAGTTGATGTCAATTATGCCTTAATTCTGAACGTTTCTACACATCACCAAGAAAGCGCGCTAGTGATGGTAACTCCTGAAATCCGAAGCCTATAGGTAAAATGGGTTCAACAGACATAAACTGCAAAAAGTGCTGCGTCTATGTACCTCTTAAAAGTTCGTAATTCATATAAAAAAAAAAACATTGCTGGCCTTTCTTGTTTCATAGTTTTCACTCAGGTTATTGTTTAAGCTCTAGTTACTTTGGATTCGTTTCAAAATAATAGTTTACAGCTACATTTATCTCCGAAGTTGTATAATACGTGAAAGGCAGTCTTTTAGGAGGGAACGTTTAAATGCCTTTGTGAGACATTAGAACATAGAAATTCTTTGCGAATTCAAGAACACATTGTTTAATAATTTCCCATCCAACTTCAGCTGGAAGATTCACGTCACATGACGTCATGGTATAAGGTCACACCACAACTTGACGCCGAGACGTCGCGTCACTTAACCACGCCGCCTGACATCAGTTCTTTTTTTTTTTTTCATTTGAAGGGGGTAAATAATTGTTGTATAGGTAACGTAACGTCAATTTCCCCGCTAACTTTAGCGGGAAAATGCGCGTACCAACCGAGGGGCGGACAAATTTCGGAAATTAGCAGGTTCCGTTAATTAAAAAGGCAATGCGACGA